ACACATTGTATCGACTGTAGTTTAATGCGTGTTCTTATGAGTCCGGGCTCACAAAGATGTTACAATTACTGGGAATGCGTTCTTATAATAAGCATTAAACAATGCCAAAATGGGGCATTTTCAATGCCTCACTGCTCCTTAATGAGCATGGGCACCCCCTTTTTTTATTTCAAAATTAAAGTGACAAATGACAAAATATTCAGTGGACAAAGTTTGAACAAAAATCTATTGTCATTTTTATTTCAGAGGAATTACCTTAAACCAACTGACTATCTACCGTGTGATTTCATTAAGCCAACCAGGTTTAAATCCCACGAACAAAAATCTACATTTTGGCCTTAATTAGTTCATGATGGCAAACCTAGGCTCGATTTCCAGCCGTTTTGTGAGCCCGTGTTCGTTGGGAGGAGGATAAACAACCAGACTCCCAAAACGGCTGGAAATCAAGCCTATGGCAAACCACGCCATGTTCAGAACTGTGTATTATATCAAATTAGATTACGGTAGTTAGCCTGTAAAATTCAGTTAATACGACCATTTGTTTGCGCTGGTTCAACAATCACTTTTTGAGTCTCCAAGCTTGTTTTTATTATTAATTTACGCCATGTTAATAAGACTACCACAGTTATCAATTGAGTGTCGCGAAAAATCAAAACTAAAGTTATCTCTCTAGCCAATCACAAAGGACATGGACAATATACAGTGAACCAATCAAAACTGGAAATAATTTCATGTCACTGACGCCGAAGCGCGAGAAAACGTATGCCAGTGAGTCCTGATTGGTTTTGGTTTGACTTCTGATTGGATGAAAAAGTGGCGCGAGCTTTTTCAGCCAATCGTGTAGCGCAGTTTATTGAAAAACCTTCTATCTGATCTCGGAACTCAATGACAAAAGCAAATACCAAGAGGAATGCAATTCTGACAGACCCCTGCTCTCTTAACGCTGGCAACGGGGCAAATGCAGACAACGCACCAGAAGAGTACTCAAATAATGATACAATGCGATTACTTAGCGTTCACATCTATCGCTTCTCGCGCCAAAAGGCCTCCGTTAATACGAGTCGCACCGGCCTGAGTTATAAACACGAAACCGCTTGCCGGAAGTAATTTTCATTGTTTACGGCAAGTCCATTCATTAATCGGTTCTAAAGCCTTTATACAGCATCGAACAGGTATAGGAAAGCCTGAACTCTCTAAAGGCTAAAATCGGCATTTCCACAGATGATAAATCTCATTGATGTTATAGGTTAGCTCAACTCCTTCTCTCGCCGTATTCGTTTTGGACTTGACTTCGCGGGCTCCTGTTATAACTCAGTACTTCCATGTCTTCCTCTCAATGGAAGCTTGTATTCAAGTTTTGATTTGCTAGAGGAGCTTGACGGTTTTCTGCTAGAATCTGATGGCTTGATGAACACTACACGCTTCGAGTTGTCGCAGCTGATCGATAGTCTTCTCTTCAGGGCAGAGTAAAACGTGTGCGGCGCCTGAAGAATGAGAGAAATAGAAACCTAATTTACTACAGCTTTGAGAGAGTAAAAGATCCCAAATTTTAACTCTTTTGAAAAATGTGCATAGATGTTTTCCCTTTCTCTAATTACTGTTTGCTTAGATCTAGACAAAAACCCGGGGTGAGGATTCCCATGTGAACAGGTCGGGGATGCTTTTCGGAAAATTTGAATTAAACTCCTTAATGAGAACAATCTGAACGTTGCTGGATCTGTTTTTGACCCCTTCAAGATACCATTTTAAAAAAGACAGACACGCGTGCGCTACAATTGCATGGTGCACTCAGGGTAAAATCACGGTTAAATTAAATGAGACTCCACAGCTCCCTGTGAGACCACCAAAAAAGGATGGCGGTGTTTTTTATCATTTCGATTCCTTGAGTACAACCCAAAAAAATACCTTGATGGCTAAAAATAGTGTCGTTTTATCCTGAATCCTCTACGTGAGGCAAAAATCTTTTTATTTACACCTCTGACCGAGACGACAAGTATCTGTTACCCGTGTCCCATAAAAACAAAATACAGCTTAACCAAAACTGTATGAATTCCTTCATCGAGCCAAATTTTGCTCGTTTGAGACTAAGAATGGTCAATTGGACCGATTTATGGCGAAAAAGAAAGTTTTGGGAAAATTTGTGCTTTTCTTTAAAGAAATTGTATTTCTTGCTGAACAACTCTTGCATTGATTTCACTACGTTTTTGAACGTTCTTCACTCTTGTAAACTGTCCCGGATGTGCGTACTCTACGTCGCTCGTCACGCACTTTATGTTTACGGTCTTTGCATGTCACGAACTTCATGATTATACCCTAACATATCCCCGACCTTTTCACCTGAGAGTCTCCCCACGAGGATAGAAGGCTAATGACTAATAAGGAATAAGTCTATATAGACAGGTAACACCTCTGACCTCGGGATTCCACTTGTCAATGTCCTTAAATGCCGCTATGATCCACTCGATAATCAGAATCAATCCACCGACAATGATTCCAGCAAGCATAAAGATGAAGACGCCCAGCATATTGAACACACCCATGCTACTGGTATCAGTGATTTCTGTAGAAAATAGTAATTACAATGAATATCCAAGTGATCTGCGAAACTGAGATAAATTATTGTTTAGTTTTTGATGGGTCAGCGGAGGCGCAATGGCCTCATGGTTAGTGCAATTGACTCTGAATCGAGAGGTCCGGGGTCGAGCCCTGACCGGAAACATTGTGTTGCGTTATTGGGCAAGACACTATGCAATCACAGTGTCTCTCTCCACCCAGGTGTACAAATGGGTACCGGCGAATTTAATGCTGGGGGTAACCCTGCGATGGACTACCATCCCTTCTAGGGACGAGCAGAAATATTCCTAGTCGCTTCATGCTACAGAAACCGAGATAAGCTACGGCCTTATGGGCCACTTGGCTCGTATACAGACTTTTTTTGATGGATCAGAGCAACTGCAATTGTGACAAGGGACTGGAAATTTAAATGCCGCCGGTTAAAGAAGGATCTGTAAAAGATTTGAACAGCCAACTACAGAAACAGAATAACAATTCAATGAAGCAAGGCTGATTACTATGAAGCAAACGTGGCTGGGGCGATCATTTGATGTCACATTAATACATAGAATGTGTGATACATTTGCGATGGTCTCTTGTATTCGTGACAATCGTTTTAGCGATATCGGAACAACATGTGTTCACCAGTTTCTTCCTCAAGCTTTAACATGCTTTCACTGCCAATTACGAAGTTTACTCCGATTAAATAGAGCGGTTTTCACGTAAGAGTCGAAAACGTATTGGTTTTGCATTACCATGCTTCACGATTGGCTTAAAAAACTCGCGCCACTTTTTCATCCAATCAGTAAAACAGTAAAAACCAAAACCAATCATGACGCGTTCGCACATGTTTTCCCGCGCTTAGCATCAGCTGCATGTATGTACGTTGAGTTTTGATTGGTTCTTTGGATTTTTCTGTGTCCTCTGTGANCGATGGACTAGCATCCCATCCAGGGGGGAGTAGAAATACTCCTAGTCGCTTCATGCTACAGAAACCGGGATAAGCTCCGGCCTGATGGGCCAATTGGCTCGCATGCAGACTTTACCTTACCTTACCTGTGATAGGCTAGAGTGATTACTTTGGTTCTGGTTTTACGACACTGAAATGAAAACTACTCTAGTATCACCACTAAGTAAATAGTTCACCCCTAAAGCCAAAACAATGCCTTTTCGATTTCGAGGAAACGAAAGGAAGAGTCAGCACCCGATATTTTCTCTTCCCTTCCACATGAAGTAACCATATTAGAAAGAATCAACGTACCCGTAGCATCATCTTCATCAAGTGCCTTGCAAGGTGTTCTGTCAATCATCCACTTGTCAATTATCCTTGAAATTTCTCCTTTGTTCCGGAGTTCCAACATCTCAATACTTAGAGGGGCAGTGTAAGGCGAATTTGTCGGTAAGGCGAAGCCATAGTGAGCCTCACCAAATTTTCTAGGGAATAAACGATTGCGTTCAAAACCTAAACCTTGAAAGAAGATAAGTTTAACTAAGCAAAAACCGGTGTAAAAAATATATTTCCTTAATTTAGCTGGGCACAGTAAAATGAAAACATTATTTACCGTTGTGGTCGGTACTGAACTACAACGCAAATACAGTTTATCATATGAACAAAAGTTTTGGTGAAAACATTTCCGATGTTCTTCTTGAATATTCTGTTATGCTATTTATTATGCTGTTCTAACTTTCGAAGCTATGGAAGAAACAATAGTGTGTGAACATTCAAATGAAAGTTATTGAGCAATATTTTCAGGTGGTGTTGTTTACTATGCTTTACAAGTTGTTCTAACTTTCGAAGCTTTGGATGAAACCGTAGTGTGCAACCATTTGAAGCATGCTTTTGAGCACTATTTTCAGGTGGTGCTGTTTATTATGCTGTACAAGGTATTCTAATCCTTGAGGTTATGAAA